CCCCCGAGGGATAAAAATGGGGAAGCTAGGAAAGTAGCTCTGATACCAAGTGTTATGAGTTGTACTAAACAGAGTGCGCGAAAGACTTCTATAAAGAGAATGTGATTACATAATGAGGAAAAATGAAGAATGCTAGCAAATATAGGGCGAATACGTGCTAGGCGAGAACCGCGTGACGTGCGTGGTTCGGAAATGTCGCGATTGGTGATGGGCGACTCGGAACTGGTTAGGTGCGAAAGTGTAGGCCGAGCCACACTGACGCGAAGTGCTCGGGCTTTCCTAGCTAGGAGCAGCCTCTACAGTAATGAATTGTGAATACGCACTTGACCAGACCAAACCGGACTTCGCTCCTCCAGACCATTCCAATTCCTAATCAGCTCATATTTCAATTCCGCGCCGCCGCACGTCCCTCACCACACCACCATTTCCCCACATTCCTTGCCACTCGCTGTTCAACCTGAACAGGCGTGAATAGTGATGCTAGTGGGATAGAAGAGCAGCGTTTGCCTCCTTGCCAGAAGCCGAGTCTTTTTAGAGGCGCATCAAAGGAAGCCTTGCGGGCATCGTTAGAAGCTCGGCTCGCTTGTGCATGTGAGCCACCACCTGAACCGTGCTACCTAACGGGGTCTGGGACTGCGACTGGGATTGATACGTCCAATGCGACTGGGGAAGGGAAGTTAGGGTAGAAAATTAAATTACCTCGCAAGGAATAAGCCGTGCGATCCCAGCATCCTCGAAGAATCTATTCTGCAGACCCGTGGCTGAACAGCCTGCTACGGGAAGCCCAAATAATTGGAAGAGAATACTTTGGCCAATAAAAACTGAATACGAGTCAGTTTCTACGGGTGGCGCGGAAATATCAATGCACCAACCCACCTATTGCCTGGAGCTGGTGGGTTCGTTTCCACCAACGCGGAAGCTTTGCGCAACCGCGCTGCCCGCGGGCAAAAAAAAAAAGTAGCACGCATCACCGCTGCGTAAAGTAGCGCTTTCCGACGCTAGTGACGTCCGAATCTGAGTCGACTCAGAAACTGACGCTAGCGACGTCTCAGAGCACTTTTCGAACGAGATACCTTGGGACTTGGTCAATGTGCGGCAAGGATTTTTTGGACGACTCAGAAACACTTATGAAAGATACTCCCCTAGGCCGCAACTCCTCGTCTGATCATCTATCGGCCAATGTGCGGAAAGGATCGCAACGCCTCGTGCGGCCTGATTGTTTCCGGAAGGTTCCTTGCTGCTGCTTCCGCCGCCACGCAGCTCACTCCCTTTCAGCTCGCGCGTCAGCCGTCACCCACCGTCGCTCGTCCGTCGTCGCTCACCGTCGCTCGCCCCTCGTCACCCACCGTCGCTCGTCGCTCGTGGCGCGTCCTCCTCCTGCTCCTCGCCCTCTCTCTCGCAACCCGCCTTGCTGCCGCGTCTGGTGCGCACGTGATTGGGCTCTTCCCTCTCCCCTTTCCTTCTCTCTCCCCTTCCCTTCTCTCTCCCCTTTCCTTCTCTCTCCCCTTCCCTTCTCTCTCCCCTTTCCTTCTCTCTCCCCTTCCCTTCTCTCTCCCCTTTCCTTCTCTCTCCCCTCTTTTCTTTCCCTCTCCTCTCTCCACTCTCCCCTCTCCCCTCCCCCTTCTCCCCTTCCACCCTCCTCTCTTCTCCCTCTTCTCCCCTCCCTTCTCTCCCTTCTCTCCTCTCCGCTCCCCCTCTCTCCGCCTCCTCTCATCACTCCGCTCCATTCTCTTTCCTTCTCATGAGGTTGTTCTCAACGTGCGACTGCTGCCACTGGCTTCCGTGCCGTGCACATGAGTTGGTGTTTTAATTATTTCAACAATCCACTGGCTTCTGTTCCAAGCACGTGAATTACTTTTTTAGGTGGCTTTTGAGTCGACTCAAAAGTCACCTCCATGCACATCAGTTGCTTCTTGATAATTTTTAACGATCCACTGCTTCTCTCCCATGCAGATGACGAGGCCTCTTCGCCACCGCACGATGCTGCTTCATCAGAAGAATCAACGGCGGTCACTGTTTCCGAGCCGGATGCAAAGCTAGACGCTGGTTCGAATTTCAAGCCTGACGCTAGCTCTGACACTAAGCCTGCCTCCGAACCTTCTACCGAGCCTACCACCGAGCCTGCTTCCGAGCCTACCACCGAGTCTGCTGCCGAGCCTGCACCTGCCAGCAATTTATCAAATTGTAGCTCAAGTGAGTGACATGAATGTCTCTCCTCTATTGAAAGGCGATTCCACCATGCCTTATCCTCCATCCTCCTGGCAGCATTAACTTCCGTGCTCTCTCTAAGGCTGCCTTCTTTCCATCCATCCATCCACCCACCCACCCATCCATCCATCCATCCATCCATCCGTCCGTCCGTCCGTCCGTCCGTCCGTCCGTCCGTCCATCCATCCATCCATCCATCCATCCATCCATCCATCCATCCATCCATCCATCCATCCATCCATCCATCCATCCATCCATCCATCCATCCATCCATCCATCCATCCATCCATCCATCCATCCATCCATCCATCCATCCATCCATCCATCCATCCATCTGTCCACTGTCCCTTTCCCGCAGCCTCCCCCGTCCATTCTGCCCCCCATTCTCCCCCCTCCCTGCAACCATCCAACTTTTTCCCCAGATGACACCCCCCCCGCATGGGTCTGCCCCTGCAACTCCTCCTTCAACCCGTCACCCACCCCACCACCAAACAACTCCATCCCCGCTATAGACATCTCCTTTAAGGGCGAGTTTGGATACGAGCTGATTGCAGTCCTTCCTCACGCCTACTGGCATTTCCTCAACGGAACTCTCAGATCCACCAGGGCTTGTGCCTCCCCCCTCTCTCTCCTCTACTATTTCAGCCCAAACCACTCCACAGACCCGAACTGTAAACGCTCCAACGATTACAATTACGTTATTAAACAGTATGGTTTCACCAAGGGCCTTCATTTTAGCGACATTCCGCATTATTGGCATCCCCCGCCATTAGTGCACCGGATACGGGAGCTGGGGCGAGTATGGCTGGATGTTCCTATAGGGGGGGCTCCACTTGTGATTATAAGCAACAAGTATGAGATTGAATGGGCAGAACCGCCTACCAATTTCATTGATGTCCCAAATCTCCTTATAATCATTCGTGAGTTTCTCAATAAGGGGTATTTCGTGGTGTATAACCGGCCCGGGCATTCGATCCAGGCAGACCCGGAGCAAGGAGACAGGTTCGACTTGGGGGACCACACGAGGCTGGCTGAGGAGTTTGGTTCGGAGGCTCGGTTCCGAACCATGCAGCAGATTCACGAGGCTTGGCCGGGCCTAAGTTTCAACGAGGTTCAGTTTAGAATGATGGCCCGAAGCTCCTGTTTCATCAGTGTGCAAGGGGGAACATCAGTACTATCCAGCTATTGGGGTGGGAAGAATATCATTTTCTATCGCAAGGGGTGGGAGGGACCGGGTAGGTCTTATGAGAGGATATATCATAGATTGTCTGGGGCCAAGATAGATGTGACCAAGACGTATGAGGTGCTGCTGGATAGAGTGCAGGATATGATTCAAGAGGACCGGTGCCAAGCTGTTTAACACCATTCTTTGAGCCGCCCCAAGGATTACTCTCGTCTAGCATCTTACTTTCAATAGTACCGATATGTGGTTCCATAATTTGTTGTTACAAATGGGTCCACAGCCCAGTACCAGTGGTGGTGAGAAGTGCATTGCAAGCCTGCAGTTTTCATCTCAACCGATGCTGAGTCGCTGTCGAGCATCAACAGCAAAATATGAAATACCTAGTTGGCACCTCAGTAACAATTATATACAGCATATTTAACAACCATCCAGGGTTTTGGGGCAATAACCTCCGCCCCTTCTGCCCATCTTACTACGAGCATCTACTGCTGCTGAGCCGAGGCTCTACTTTGCGTTCGCCCTCCTCTTCCTGCCGCTGCTCTGGCTGTGCTTATTCGTCAACAACCAGCGCCACAACACACATGAAAAGACCAGCCGCCGTGCTAGCAATCATTATCATTGCTGCTGCTGCTGCTGCGGAGGCGGCATCGGCTGCTGCTGCTGCAGCTGCTTGTGCTCTTGCTGCTTCTGCTGTTTCTCCAGTTCCCCCCCTTGCTGCACCAGTCTAGACGGCAGCACAGCAGGCACGACCACACCAGCAGTTGTGGTGGCAATCCCCGGCACTCACTGATCCAGCACCATCACTAAGAACGTCAGCAATCGGGGTTGCAACTCATTGCTACTGCAACACCTGCTTCTACTGTTGCTGCTGTGGCTGCTGCTGCTGCTGCTTCTGATTTGTTTCCTCCCCTTGCTGCACCAGCCTCGACGGCAGCACAGCAGGCACAACCACACCAGCAGCCGTAGTCGCAATCTCCGGAACCCGCGGCACCCACTGATCGGGCACCATCACAAAGTACGTCTGCATGGCCTTCCGGAACCGTTTCTTGTAGTTAGAAGGAGAGATCACCGTAGGAGTAGAGTCCTTGCCCGCCCCGCCTCCCCCTAGCAGTCCAGACGCTTTGACCCATGTTTCCAGCTGCTTGTCCCACGTGTAGGGGCGGATGAAGTCGATTATGCCCACCACCAGTGTTGAGCGCTCCTCTTCTACCCCTACGAGCAGAGAATAGTCCATGATGGCGTGTTTCTGTGGGTGGGGAAGGGACCGGAACAGGTGGGGAGGGGTGGTGAGTGAATCATTACCTTCGTACCTGATTCTCAACCGCTCTCAACGATTCTCAGCCGCTTTTGTACCAATGGGGGAACGGCGTGGTTCCCACACGTCCCTCCAGCAGCTGCGTGGAGGTGAATGCTTACCCATCTTACATACAACTGCTCTCAACCACTCTCATCTCGTCTCACCGCGAGGAATGCCGTGTCGTTCCACACAGCGCGCTCCAGCAGCTGCTTGGACCGCTTCCCTACGAAGATGGGCGACGTGGGCATGGCTTCTAGCAGGTTCTCGTCTAGCAGTACCTGAGGCGAGGAGAAGAGAGGAGGAGGGAAGAGAATGGGAAAGAGACGGGGGAAAAGGGGAGTTGATGTGAGAATGCTTTATCACAAATGCATGTACAGGAACCACAAGTGTATGTACAGGTTCCCCCACCCTACCCCACCCAACCCCTTGCGCACATACCCTGCTCTTGGAGCGGTCTGCGTTGTATCTGGAGCGACGGGAGCCCTTGAGATCGTAGAGCTTGGTGATCCGACGGCCGTAGAGCAGGTTCTCCATGACCATCACGTCCATAGTCACGCCCTTTGCTGTCACCTGCTCACACACGCATGCACGGGATGGAAGGTTATAGGGCAAAGATAGGAGAGAGGAGCGAGGAGAGAGGAGAGAGGGGAGAGGAGAGAGGAGAGTGCAGAGAGGAGAGTGCAGAGAGGAGAGTGCAGAGAGGAGAGTGCAGAGAGTGCAGAGAGGAGAGTGCAGAGAGGAGAGTGCAGAGAGGAGAGTGCAGAGAGGAGAGTGCAGAGAGGAGAGTGCAGAGAGGAGAGTGCAGAGAGGAGAGTGCAGAGAGGAGAGTGCAGAGAGGAGAGTGAGGAGAGTGCAGAGAGGAGAGTGCAGAGAGGAGAGTGCAGAGAGGAGAGTGCAGAGAGGAGAGTGCAGAGAGGAGAGTGCAGAGAGGAGAGTGCAGAGAGAGAGGAGAGAGAGAGCAGAGAGGAGAGTGCAGAGAGGAGAGTGCAGAGAGGAGAGTGCAGAGAGGAGAGTGCAGAGAGGAGAGTGCAGAGAGGAGAGTGCAGAGAGGAGAGTGCAGAGAGGAGAGTGCAGAGAGGAGAGTGCAGAGAGGAGAGTGCAGAGAGGAGAGTGCAGAGAGGAGAGTGCAGAGAGGAGAGTGCAGAGAGGAGAGTGCAGAGAGGAGAGAGGAGAGGGAGAGTGCAGAGAGGAGAGTGCAGAGAGGAGAGTGCAGAGAGGAGAGTGCAGAGAGGAGAGTGCAGAGAGGAGAGTGCAGAGAGGAGAGTGCAGAGAGGAGAGTGCAGAGAGTGCAGAGAGGAGAGTGCAGAGAGGAGAGTGCAGAGAGGAGAGTGCAGAGAGGAGAGTGCAGAGAGGAGAGTGCAGAGAGGAGAGTGCAGAGAGGAGAGTGCAGAGAGGAGAGTGCAGAGAGGAGAGTGCAGAGAGGAGAGTGCAGAGAGGAGAGTGCAGAGAGGAGAGTGCAGAGAGGAGAGTGCAGAGAGGAGAGTGCAGAGAGGAGAGAGGAAAGGGGAGAGCAGAGAGCAAAAAGCAGAGAGCGATATTATCCCTCACGACAGCAACTGGTACAAAACAAGGACCATTCACATCCCTCCCACACATCAGCATCATCTATCTACACAAATCCCCCTCACGACCCCACCTGGTAGAGGCCGAGGATCTTGGCGAGGCAGGAGGGGTTGCTGGACTCGATGGCGTCAAACAGGTGCTTGAAGTAGTCGTTGGCAAAGTCCAGAAACGCCAGTATTTCCTTGCGTTGCACCTTATAACGGGGATGAGGGAGAGTGGACGGAAACACAAGGGCTTGACTGTGAGATGAAGAAAAATAGGAGATTAAAATAATAAAAATAGTAATAATAATAATAACAATAACAATAACAATAATAATAATAATAATAACAATAATAACAATAATAACAACAATAATAATAATAACAATAGTAATATTAATAGTAACAATAATAATAATAAACAAAAACGAGGGCGGAGAAGAGGTGAGGGGAGAGGAGAGGAGAGCGCACAGGCAAGGAGAGGGCAGAGGGCGGCCAGAGTCTGAGGAAAGGAGAGTTCAACCCACCTGTTTGATGACAAAACGGTCGTCCGCAGTCTTGGCGAAATACACGGAGCTCTTGCCGCCCTCGGCACTCCAGCGCTTGCAGCGGCACAGCGACCGCACAAACTCCACATCGCCACTCCCGTCCACCACCCCTTCCCCTGCCGCCCCTGCCCCTGCCGCCCCCGCTGCCCCTGCCGACCCTGCTGCCCCTTCTCCTGTGTCAGCTACAGCCTTCTGCTGGCCGGATGAGGCAGTGGCGGTGGCTGGGGGGAAGGGAGAGCAGCACTTGCGGCGGAGCGCGTCAAACTGTTTGGCGAAGTAGGCAGTCACCTGGAACGATGCTGCAGAGCCACTCCCCCCACCAACGCCACCGCCGATCCCACGCCGACGGCTACTGCTACCAGCACCCACTGGCGTTGACGCACCGCTGCTCATACCGCCACTGTTCATGCCACTGCCACTAATGCCGCCACTAATCCCGCTGCTGGCGCTGCTGCTGCCCGTGGTGCCGGTGGGGTTGGTGGTGGGGCCGGGGAGGAAGGGCAGTGCGGGGAAGGGCAGGGTATCGTCACCTCCCCCCACTGTGAATGCCACTTTCACGTGGCGTTTCTCCCGGGACAGCAGCGGGTCCTCCTGAGTGGGCATTGTCACTGGCTCTTCTCGGGATGGCAATGGCTCATCCCGGGACGGCACTGGAGCCGCTTCTCCCCGAGATGGCATGGGCTCCGGTTCCCCTTGCGATGGCACTGGCACTGGCACTGGCACTGGCTCTGTCTCTCCCCCAGCTCGCCTCTCTTCTGGTTGTGCTTGTAATGGTTCTTCCTGCGACTGTGACGGTTCCGATGCTGCTTCTGAAGGTTTTTGTTGCACTTGTTCGTGCTGCATGGAGGATGCTGGTTGATGGTCTTGTGATGATGTCTCCTCTTGCTTGCAAGCTCCCTCCTCTCCTCCCACATCACCACGCCCATCAGCAGTGGCAAAAGAAGTCTCGCCAGCAGCACCCCCACCACTATCAGCACTTGCAGTCGCAGACGTGTCTTGAGGCACGGACCCATGCTCCAGTCTATCATGTTCCAGTCTATCTTGTTCCAGTCTATCTTGTTCCAGTCTATCTTTCAGCCCTTGTGTCACGCCTGCAGTGTCAGCACCACCACCATCACCATCACCAGCAACACCAGCACCAGGACCAGCACCATCCCTCTCTGCTCCTGCCAGCATTCTCAGCTCGGCACTAGATCTAACCCCACCGCTCTCCACTCCCTCACCATCTTCTCTACCTGCCTCTACAGCACTCTGTGCAGAAGCAGCGTGCAGCGCATGGGCTTGCCGGGCCTGCCCTCCGTCGGGCACCGGACTGCCACTGCCACAGGGCGCTGCTGCTGCTGCTGCTGCTGCTGCACTATCGCTAGTACTACTTTCTCTAGATCTCCGACCATCGCTACCTCCTCCACCATCTCTTTCGCGAAGGGCTCTAGCCTCTTCCACAGCCTCACTGGCCGCTCCTTCTGCAGCCATCCCGTACGCTTCTTTTCCTGCTGCTCCTGCTCTTCCTGCTGCTCCTGCTCTTCCTGCTGCTCCTGCTGCTGCTGCAGCTGCTGGAGCACCTGAGCTCGCCAACTCTGCTCCATTTCCCCCTCCCCCTCTCGCCTCCCAATCGATTTCGCTTCCTTCCCCTGCTGTTCGTTTCCCCCCTGCTGCCCCTGCAGCTGTGGACTGTGCATCTGCTGCTGCTGCAGTCTCTATGCAGCCTGCTGTGGGTCCTGGTGCCCTAGCAGCAGCAGCAGGTGGAGAGCCATCAGTGCGACGAGTGCTTTCAGCTGCAGAATCAGGTGTAGGGGCAGCAACGCTTCCACATGCATCTGCTGCTGCACCTGCACGGCTTGGCCCTGCTGCTGCTGCTGCTGCTGCTCCTCCTCCTCCTGATCCTGCTTCCGTTGCTCCTCCTCCTGTTTTATCATCTGCTTCTACTGCTGCCATGGCCGCCGCTGCCGCTGCAGCAGCTGCAGCAGCAGAAGAGGCTTGCCTGACCAGCTCGCCTACTGCCTTAGCCCCCACCACCTCTGATTCCACCACTCTCCCACCCCCCTACCCCCTTGGCTGACACTCCAGGCCCAAACACACTCCCTATCTGCCCCACACTCACACCCACACCCACACCCGCACCAGCACCCGCACCAGCACCCGCACCCGCACCACCACTCCCAGCCCCTCCCCCAGCAGCAGACGTGTTACTGACAGCAGCAGCAGCACCACCAGAAGCAGGCGCACGAGCAGAACTAGCGGCATTCTGAGCAATGGCAGTGTGGGCAGCAGTGGCACCAACGACAGTGGCGGCGCCATGCACGGCGCGGTAGTACTCATTGGACGAGATGGCGTACGCAATGAGCGACGTGGGCTCGTCCTCGTACACAGCAATGATGCGCCCGCCGATGCCGGGTGGCAGGAGCACGTGAGCTCTTCCTAGCAAGGCCGGAGGGTACTGTATGAGTCATGGAAGAAGGGGGGGTTTGGGGGAAAAATGTTACTGTTGAGACGTCTAAAAAATAACCTCATCACACGTCTCTTCCTAGCAAGGCCGGAGGGTTCTGTATGAGTCATGGAAGAAGGGGGGGGTTTGGGGGAAAAATGTTACTGTTGAGACGTCTAAAAAATAACCTCATCACACGTCTCTTCCTAGCAAGGCCGGAGGGTTCTGTATGAGTCATGGAAGAAGGGGGGTTTGGGGGAAAAAGGGGTGGGGGAGGGAGGGATAAGCGACGTGGGCTTGTTCTCATACACAGCAATGATGTGCCCGCCGATGCCAGGGGGCAGGAGCACGTGCGCTCTACACAGCAAGGCAGGGCTGGGGGAGACTGAGGTAGAATGTATTTTCGACTCAAAAATATGCCAGGGGGCAGAAGCACGTGCGCTCTACACAGCAAGGCAGGGCTGGGGGAGACTGAGGTAGAATGTATTTTCGACTCAAAAATATGCCACAGGGCAGGAGCACGTGCGCTCTACACAGCAAGGCAGGGCTGGGGGAGACTGAGGTAGAATGTATTTTCGACTCAAAAATATGCCAGGGGGCAGAAGCACGTGCGCTCTACACAGCAAGGCAGGGCTGGGGGAGACTGAGGTAGAATGTATTTTCGACTCAAAAATATGCCAGGGGGCAGAAGCACGTGCGCTCTACACAGCAAGGCAGGAGACTGAGGTAGAATGCGATCAAAAATATGCCACAGGGCAGGAGCACGTGCGCTCTACACAGCAAGGCAGGGCTGGGGGAGACTGAGGTAGAATGTATTTTCGACTCAAAAATATGCCAGGGGGCAGAAGCACGTGCGCTCTACACAGCAAGGCAGGGCTGGGGGAGACTGAGGTAGAATGTATTTTCGACTCAAAAATATGCCACAGGGCAGGAGCACGTGCGCTCTACACAGCAAGGCAGGGCTGGGGGAGACTGAGGTAGAATGTATTTTCGACTCAAAAATATGCCAGGGGGCAGAAGCACGTGCGCTCTACACAGCAAGGCAGGGCTGGGGGAGACTGAGGTAGAATGTATTTTCGACTCAAAAATATGCCAGGGGGCAGAAGCACGTGCGCTCTACACAGCAAGGCAGGGCTGGGGGAGACTGAGGTAGAATGTGTTTTCGAATCAAAAATATGCCACAGGGCAGGAGCACGTGCGCTCTACACAGCAAGGCAGGGCTGGGGGAGACAGCAAGACAGGGCGCTCTGCTCGACGGTGCCTGTTTCGAGCTTAATTCTGTCGACCAGCGTTTCGTCGAAACGCTGTTTTCTACCATTTCGTCGACCCGCGAGGCTCGATTTGGACGCCGTTTTGCTCCCCTCGACAAGTGCCTCGTCGAGGGGCAGTTGTGTAGAGCAGAAACAGCACTTCAATTTCGACGAAGTAATTTGGTCGAAAATCGACCCGTCAGTCAGAGAGAAAAGTCCCTGAAGTCGCGACCACGAAACGAACACCGTTGTGCTCCGAAAAGCATGGCCGACTTCGCCCAAGCGAGGGCGGGGCCTTTTCTCCTCGACACTCCCCTGCCCAGCTCACGCTTGGGCACCCACACACAAGGTCCACCTAGAACCTAGTTAATAAAATACAAGGGGACATTTCTCTGGCGTGCACACTCCCGCACGCCGACCACCGCACCAGCCATGTTAGAGGACATGGCACCTACTGCTGCACGCCGTCGTTGTCGCCGACTGCGGTAAGGCGAACCTGGCCGATCGCGATAGAGCACCGGTTGAAGGCCGGAAAGTGCAGACCCTTTGTGAGGAAGTCCGCCGGCTGCTCGGATGTTGGGATGTATTCCAGCGCAACCTTCTTGCACTTCACCATCTGCTGCAGCCAAGCGTAGCGTCGCTCCATGTGCTTGAGGTTGCCTTTCAGCCCCAAGCCCTCAGCGACCGCGATGGCGGACTAATTGTCCACGTTCAGAGTAGTTGGCGTCCCAGCATCGAGGAGCTGGAACTCGGCGAGGAGGAATCGAAGTCGACGAGCCTCCTTGGCCGCCTCAGTGGCCGCGATGTACTCTGACTCCGTAGAGGACAGAGTCACGCACTTAATGCGTTGGCTTGTCCAGGAGACAGCTGCGCCGCCGAATGTGAAAACGTAGCCATTCGTGCTAGTGCGATTCTGCTTGTCGCCTGCGTCGTCAGCGTCCGCGTAGCCGACCAGTGTCAGAGTCTCCGGTCCTCCTCCGAACTCCAGAGCAACATCACGCGTGTCCGAGAGATAGTTGAGGCAGCGGTCGACCTCACGCCAGTGGTTATCGCTCCTCACCGTCAGACCAGATCCCGGCTTGCTGCACGCAAAAGCGATGTCGGGCCGAGTTGTTGTGGCAGAGAACTGCAGCGAACTGACCTTCTGACGATACTCCTCTTCTTCGCGCGACTGAAAGTCATCGTCGTCGAAAGTCAGCTCGGCATACGCGTCGACGGAAACAGGTGTCTTCGGACGCCGACCAGTCTGCTCCTCGTCGATGAAGCGCCTTCGCAGCTTGTCGACATAGGACTGCTGGTGAAGCCACAGCTTCCGCGCCGGACGGTCACGCACGATTTCGAGCCCCAAGTACTTCTCGACCGGGGTGATCTCGCGCAGCTCAAAGGCAGCCTCCAGCAGCTCCTTCAGCTCCTTCAGCATCGCGGTGCTGCTGCTGGCGGCGAGCAGGTCGTCGACGTAGACGAGCACCCAGCACGCCACTCCGTCGTCGCCAACTCGGAAATAGAGGGCCTCGTCGACCTGGCTCTTGCTCCAACCAGCGCCAATCAGCACAGCGTCGAGCGCAGAGTACCACAGCAGAGGGCTCTGCTTCAGCCCGTACAGGC